AAATGCTTCTTGATGTCAGAGTTTGTAGATGTTTGATCTAGAGGCGAGACAGAAACTCTGAGTATAGCTGCATTGTTAAGTACTGATAAATATGAAGATATGTCAGTGTGTGGTGCAGGTTAATGGAGGGTTCTGCTTCTGTCAGGCGTTCTCTTGTGTCTGTTGCACAGCAGCGTCTGACCGCTGAGCTGAGGCAGTGCATTTCTCCAGGTTTTGTCCTCTTTGAAGCTGTTTGAGCTGCTCTACATTAGGAGCTGAGAGATCTTCAAAGGTTTCCGAGTGCAGATTTAACCTTGAGAGATGCAGCGGGTCTCGCTCCTCTACAGGAGAATATCTACTGTCTGCTCTGCTTGTGTGAACAGCCCTGTGCTCCTGAAACAGAAGCCTCTCTACATGAGAATGCAGCGCTCGTCGCTCCTCCGGGGAGGCGTACAGTAGACGCATGAAAGAGACGCTTTAAGACATCAAACAGTCTGAGAGGAAGAGCGTCTCCCGAGAGGAACAATGAGAGTCAAGTTAAAGAGAGAGACGTTCCTCAGATCTCCGCTTTAGCAGATGTGTGACGGCGTTTAGAGAGACACGGATGATGAGGAGAGCCTCCTTCAGGAGATCCAGAGTTGGGGAAAACACACCGAGATATTAGAACAGCAGGCTTTCCTTACTGCTTCTGTCTCCTTTCTAGTTCAAATATTTAAAAATGATTAAGTCAAGAAGCATTTTTAAGAGTTTTCCTGAGACTAGAGCGAGCGGTGAGGCCGTGTTCAGTGAGAGGAGTGTGATGGGAATGTTCAGGGTGTGAATGGGGTCCGGGTTAAGCATTTCTTCTACAGTTCTTGTAACCGCTCTGCTGTGGAGCTGAAGCTTTTATGCTCCCTCTTTTTCTTAGCAAAGGAAAGAAAATGGCCCACTTTGTCCCATACGGGCGCTACAGCTCTACATAAACAGGGCACGATCATTCAGAATCAGCTATTTGCAGACCTGCCAACATTTATTCCAGAAATTCTGGGAGACTGGCGGGGTTTGTTGAGTGGTGGGGTGTTTTGGCGAGCCGTGATGTTTGTGGTGTTAGCAGGTGGCTGCGGCGATTGGATACTAAACTCAAGTTGGTGACCGAGGAGTGTTTCAGACTGTACACTGTAAACCCAAAAAGTTAGGGCAACTCCAGAGGTGGGTAACGAGTACTTTTTGAGTATGTTTAAATTTGAGTACATTTACTCTTACTCAAGTAAATTATTAGAGAAAAATCATTACTCTTGCTTGGCTGCATTCCTCCCTTACAGCCAAGTGATAATAAATATGATATATAATGTGTCTTGTTTGCTAATATCGCGAGGCGCCGCATTGGAGAGGGTGTGTCACGAGAGGTTGCTATAGAGACGTATCTCCCGCTTTCGGTTAGAGCACACCTGCCTGTTGGGATAATGGCTGAAGTCGAGGAAGACATGCGAGTTTGCCAGTTTGAAAGACATCCATCTGCGGTGCGGTGAGTTTATCGGACCTGGTCACTCGACCTCGAGTTCAGTCTATGCTTTTACTCCAAGATGTCAACAAGAATAGTTTCATAATGCGATGCACACAGCAAACTGACATCGCAGCATATACATGAACAACAGCTCCGACCTGAAAAAACACGTAGTGGTACATTATCCATACTTTTAGACGTTTATTAATGGTGACTATGGGATAACTAAAGAAACGGCTGTTTAATGGAGTAACTGAATAGCCCTGCACACATTAGTCATTTAACCATTAAAAATATAACATTTAATCATTATTTTTAACATACGACTGCTTTAACAGAAATATATTATCAACACAGTTCTACTGTTTTAATAACTCATTAAAACTGATTTCTCTTCTCCATGATGGCAGTACATAATATTACACTAGATATTCTTCAAGACACTAGATATTTCGTCACTTTAGATTTAGAAGGCTCTATCTGACATTCTTCTCAAAATAGAGTTATTGACATATTCTTATCAAATGACAAGTTATTTACATTATGGGATGCTTTTTTATAAGTTGTTTACATTTTAAGACTTTATTTAAAAACAGATGTCACACACACACACACACACACACACACACACACACACACACACACACTGCCCGCTATATGTGATGCAAAAACTTTAAAATCTCAAAATCCTTCAGAACGCAGACAGATCATCCCAGTGACGATTGCTCAAGTGGCATTTAAAGCCTTAACCAGGTTAATTGGACAGGTCAGGGTAATTAATGATGGTTTGTTCTGTAGCCAATCAAAAGAAATATTGCTAAAGGGGTTCATAATTTTGACCTTAAAACGGTTTTAAAAACTCTTTTTATTTTAGCTGATCTAAAACAAGATCTTCTTCAGACAAATACAGTAAATACTTTGAAAATGTATATATACCTTTATATTTATATATAAAATGAAAAGTAACTATTTAACTAATTTTTTCATCACATAATTTTTTACTCTTACTCAAGTAACTTTTAAGATTTGTTACTTTAATTTTACTCGAGTAAAAATTTCAGCAAGTACTTGTACTTTTACTTGAGTATAGATTTTGGATACTCTACCCACCTCTGGTCAACTCAAACCATTTGAGAAAACCGGCTGCAACTAATCCTTTTGAGTTCCAAAACTAATCCTAATGAGTACTGTGAGCTTACTACATTTGAGTAAACGGAGCGATTTGAGCACAGTTACACCTGATAAACGAAGAGAATCAAGCCAACTGAGTACTGTAAAACCCAACAAGTTCAGCCAACTCAAACCATTTGAGTTAAAAAAAAATAATCTATACTTCACAGTGTACCAGAAAGCTGAGGACCGGGGGGTTGGGGGTGGAATTCACGGGAGTTCTCTGGGAGAAATAACAAAACAGGAGGGTGGTGGGAAGTCTGAAATACAGCAGACTGACGGAAATAACGGGAGTGTTGGAAGTTTTGGTTTGCTTCATTGGCCACTCGATATAAGGGTGAAGCTACTTCTTCTAAACAGCATCCAGAGGTCTTCAATACTCAGCAGCTCATTGTTCAGGAGGAGGGACCTCATGGGCTCTGTTCAGAGGGATTTCAGTAGGAGATGTTTGTACAGTGGTGAGCTGCTCTTCCATGCGTTACAGCCGTGGTCTGTATCATTCCTACGGTGAGATACTGAGCAAATGCTTGAAAGAGAACACTAAACCCGGTTCTCTGAGAACAGAGCGAGGTATCTCAGCTAGCTTCCCTTCATGCATTACACTTGGGAAGAGCGTGCTTCGAACACAGATTCGGGGAATCAGACGGACGTGGTGTAACTGATGCTTCTATAGTCTGTGAAGGCCTGGAGTGTTTCCCACAGTGAGATACCTCACTCTGCTCTCAGAGAACCAGGGTTACACATGTACCCTAATGTCTTGGCTACAGTTCTGCCTGGTGTTTACACTACTCCCACATGCTAAAATGTGTTGTTCTGAAAACTGTGAAGAGCCTGCTTTAGTGGCGCTGCTGCTGCTGTGGGAAACGATTGAAGATGAAGGCGTGGCTATGCGCAGTCACTCTCTGATTGGTCTTCTGGATGATTAAATATTGTTCCCTGAAGCTGCGGTCGCACTAGAGGTTGATCAAGCGAAATTCTGTCATGCGGCGCTGTGAAAGGAACGAGGTTAAACAAGCTGATTAGACATTAATAAAGCGAGCGATTGCTCCATATTGTAAATCTCTGTCCAGAGAGGTCATGTTTTGATCCTCAGTTGGTCTCACGCAGCCGAGTGTTGTGATTTCGCAGGTCAGAGTTCATCAAACTTGAACTTTCCAAAGCAGCAATCTGCAAAACTTGACGCACAAACTTGCGTGTCTGATCTGACTTACTTGCATGCATACGAATGGAAGTCTATGAGGAGAAAAGTGCAGTGTGACCACAGCTTAATTCATCAAGACCTGATCACATGACCATTACACAACCAGCCTTATGCCCCATTCACACAGGGCGTCAGCGTCAGCGCTTCCCATTCACTTTGAATGGATGACGTCAGGCGTTGCCGAACTGCATTGTGGATCCGTCTGCACTGCTTCAGAGGCGTTGCTCGCTGCAGAAGTTGGGACTATCTCAACTTTTCAAGCGCCGACGGAATCGTCAGCCAATCAGATCACTGTATGCAAATACACCAGCTCAGACAGTAGCCGATTGATGACTAATTTCATTGGCTGACGTTGTTATGACGATTGCATCAGCCCCAACTTCAGACACGCCCTCTGTCAAGCGCTGGCGCTGGAATGGGGTGTTAGAGGTGACAGTGCTTTTGTGGCTCCAGATCTCTGGACCGCTCTTCCTCTTACACTGAGAACTCTGGGCTCTGTTGAGCTTTGTAAAAACAGTTAGACACATCTTTATTGACCAGTTATTAAAGGTCTCCTGAAGTGCTTGGAAATTTACATTTTATTCAATGTTCAAAACCGAAGCATGAAGAGAGGGTGGGACAGACTAGCTCCTCCCCTTTTTAAAAACAGCCAATAGTGTTTTGTTTTAACACTGCTGTGCCAGTGAGAGGGGTTGAAGTGTGTTGAAGGGGGCGGGGCATGTCAGACACTACAGAGCATTTGATGAATAAAACTGTTGATCATTTAGGAGGAAGAGACCAACTGCACACTTCACATCTTTATATCAGCTCTACATCTCCTACATGTGAATTTAGTCACTATTTTGGTGCGCTCTAGCTTATAGATGTGCTAAGAATGAACAATACTGACACTAACAGCTAAAACTTTTGTCTTGAGTTGATGGGGCCTTCAGTGTAACAGTACGGTGAGCTGGGTTTATATTCGGTTTTATTTGTACTTTGATTTTAACCTGTTTTGATTCCTGTAAATGAATGTGTGAGGTCTGTCTGTGACGGGTGTTATATTAATACATTAACCTACTTATTACTCATGTGAACAGCCCCTGACTCAGGAATGGAGTAGACTGTCAGGATGCACAGATGAATGTTGGTGTTATAGTCATTAATGAGGGTTTACTCTGTCTGCAGGAGTGATCCGCGAGACCTTCCACCGGGACCGGGATCAGATGGTTCCAGTGACGCTGTTGGCCATCGCTGTGATCCTGGCCTTCAGCATGGGCGCCATCTTCAGCGGGATCCTGGTGTACTGTGTGTGTGACCACCACCGCCGGCGGGAGTTCCCCATGTCAGGACGCAAAGAGAAGGACTGTGCGGCGTCCCGCCGCGGCTCCATGAACAGTGTGACCAAGCTGACGGGGCTGTTCGAGACGCAGGCTAAAGACGGGCGTGCAGAGCAGATGCTGACCCCGCTGATGAACGGCCGGCTGGTCAACGGGCGGATGCTGATTAAAGCGGAGCAGCACCTGGACCTGTCCGCCCTGCCCACACCCGAGTCCACACCACTGCAGCCACGCCGCAAGCCTAGCAGGGGGAGCCGAGAGTGGGAGCGCAACCAGAACCTGATCAACGCCTGCACCAAAGAGCTGTCATCAATGGGGTCACCTGTGATCCCGACAGAGCTGCCGCTTCGGGCATCCCCGGGCCACATCTCCAGTGTGGTGGTGCTGCCACTGCCACCACATCAGTCGTACCAGCACGAGTACGTGGAGCATCCGCAGCAGCGCCCTGACGATCCAGCGGCCACGCTGGAGTTCCAGACGCTGCGGAGTCCGTGCCGTGGTGCAGAGGAGGAGGTGGTGCCGCCACGAGTGCCCCAGCGGGAGGCGTCCCTGGTGCCACCGGCCGTCCCACAGATGGGCAAACGGCTAGACATGCACTCCTCCATGTACGCCCGCGGGTTCCCCATGAGCTCCGGCCTGAAGAAGCAGCACAACACCAACTCCTCCAACTCCTCACACATGTCCAGGAACCACAGCTTCCGTGTGGAGACGCCTCCGCCCGCCCCGCAGCGCGTGGACTCCATGCAGGTCTCCTCTCCGGGCCTCGGCCTCTCCCACCACCCCAGCCTCAGCTCTTTCGGCTCTCTGTCTCGCTGCGGAGCCCGGCAGATGAAGCCCGACGTGCCGCCCAAACCCTCGGCCGTGTCCTACTGCAGCAAAGCCACATCCGGAGACTCCTGCACATAATCCAGAGCGGGAGAACACACGTGGGGAACAGCTCAGTGTGTCTGCGGTGTACAGCCCTGTACAGGAAACGCAGATCACCCTTTCCTTTCTGTTTGTTTTGGTTTTGTATATTTTTTAATACGTACACATCGGGCTGAAGAGTCCCCGAGCGCAAACACACCGAGAGGAGGAACTCTTGAAGATTTACTCAGTGCTTCGTCCTGATTAAAGCAGGGCTGAGGTTCGTTTTCTGCCAAAAGCACATGGAGACGGGTGGAGATGTACGTCACGAGGAGCCCGCTGTTATCCAGCTCTCGGAGAGTAAACTGTGAAGATCCGCCGTCTCTGCGCTGCTGTTACTGGACAAAGCAATGGAGTTCTGCCTTAGTGCAAGAGTTCAACACGTCTACTGAAGCGGTCGGCTAAATAACACGTGACTGTTAATACTAATAGCAGGTTGTATTTATTTTTAATAAAGTGCTTTTGCAGAGAGAGCGTCTCTTTTAGGCTCAGACGAGACGAGAGCGATCGTTTTAATTTGAATTAATCGAGTGTGAAATTATTTAAAGTCATTAAACTGGAGCCAGCACTTCTGTCCACTAACTCTTTGGACGTTGCTAAGCAAACTCTGAGGTGTCGGGAAGCCTTGCCAGAGGGGATCGTGGGTAAATCAGACACACAGGAGCGGTCCGTCTGCCCTCGTCTGTCCGCAGAGTGCCATTCTGAAGGAACACACAGACGACATGTGTGTGTGCAGACGCTGGCTTAACGCTTTCAGATGTATGGGTTCCTCTAACACACACACACACACATATGTGTTGGCAATAGTGGTTTACGAGGACTCTCCATTGGTCTAATGTATTTTATACAGTAAAACAGTGTATTATTATACAGCCCTACCATTAAACCCTCACAGCAACCCTGAGGCAGAATGTCTACATCTATTTTTAAACCTTTTTAATAACAAGGACACAAAGCCTGTCCTCATAAACCACCATTAATAGGTCGTACCCATGACATTATACATGTGTGTCCTTGTAAACCACCAATACCAATACACACACACACACACACACACACACGTGCACAGGCCCGTGGTTGAATCATGTCCAGTAAGCCTGTTTTCCTCCTTCCACCTGTAAATGTGTGCCTTACACCCCTGAGTAGTGACGCGTGTGTTAGCTGTTAACTGTCGTAGTTCTGATGATGAAGATGATGAAGATGATGTTTGTTTTTCTCGTTTGATTAAAAAAAGACACAAAACACAAAAAACCATGTAATTGCTGAATGTAGGTGTTGTCGTTGTCGACTCTGGTCCCTCTGCTAGCCACACATGCTTGATTTCTGATCGTGCCAATGAAGGGTTGGGGTCGGAGCGTGGCGTTGGGTTTTCGGTGTCGATTTGCTTTGTCCTCGTTTACTTCTCTACAGTCCAGAGGAGGTTTGTACACTGTTTGTAGATGACGTGTCTCTGTGGATCCGGCTGCTCGGAGGCAATAAGAGGAAAACACAGGAGCGAATCCGACACGACGCTTCTCCCGAACACACACACACACACACACCAGCGCTCTAATGTACATGATCAAACACAGTTTGTAGGCGGTGAATACAGGCTGGCTCCTGTGTAGATATGCACTTCAGTAACACTAGGAGACAGATTCATGTTCTCAATGTTTGTGACAGATTCCCATTAATATAATTTTCTAGCTCTATGGTCGTGACGTATTACGAGGGATTGTTATTTAACTATTTTGACACACGTTCTCTTGAAGTTGACGTTTGTAGATGTTGGCCTGACCGGCTCCGCCTCTTCCTGTTGTGGGCGGAGTCTCCTGTGTGGTGCCTTCGCTCCGTCGCCCTCCCGACTCCAGTACTCCTGTATGATACGGTTCTGTCACCGGTGTCTCCCGCGTCTGATTCACAGCTAAATGTATGTTGTAAAGAAATTCTCTTTAATAAATGGAAAGTAATAAAGCATTGAGATGTGTTCACAGAGCGGCTGTGGTGTGTGTATGTTCTGTTGTGGTCAGTGTTTGGGTGTCAGGTGTGTGTTCTCGGCCTCTCCGTGCCCTCTTCTTCATTGAGATATGTAGAGCAGCACCTCACACACTCGCAGGCTGATTGTGTTCTGTAAACTGAGCCTGGATCAGCCGTGGCCTGCAGAACCTGTGCTTGTGTACTGTGTGAGATGCGGATCTGATCATTCTCAGATGGAGAAACAGGTCGTGTCCTGAACTACACGATACACTTATGCACTCAACAGGGTGGTGAATGAGTTTGGTGTGGAACACTGATGTTATTTTACTAAACGGAAACACAAACCGTTTCCCAGATAATGTTTAACCGGTGCCGAATCAGTGATATAGATGACTAAACTATCAATCTGTAGCATGAGTACAGCCGAACTCTGGTGAATGCAGCTGCACTCAGGCTACAGGCCGATGGGTTAGTCATCAGGAGGTGCCGTGATCACTCATGTGGGACACTTTACATTCACAATACCAAATACATGAAATAATCCAACCTCAGCTGAAGATAGCTCCTCCCCTTCATCAGTAGCTCCTTATCAGTAGCTCGTCCCCTTCATCAGTAGCTCCACCCCTTCATCAGCAGCTCCACACCTTCATGAGCAGCTCCACCCCTTCATCAGCAGCTCCACCCCTTCATCAGCAGCTCCACCCCTTTATCAACAGCTCCACACCTTCATGAGCAGCTCCTTCTCTTCATCAGTAGCTCTTCCCCTTCATCAGTAGCTCCATCCCTTCATTAGTAGCGCTTCCTCTTCATCAGTAGCTCCTCCTCTTCATCAGTAGTTCCTCCCCTTCAGCAGTAGCTCCTCCTCCTTAACAGTAGCTCCTCCCCTTAATCAGCAGCCCCTCCTCATCATCAGAAGCTCCTTCTTTTCATAAGTAGCTCCGGCCCTTCATCAGCTCCACCCCCTTCATCAGCTCCTCCCCTTCATCAGCAGCTCCTCTTCATCAGTAGCTCTTCCCCTTCACCAGCAGCCCCTCCTCCTCGTCAGTAGCTCCTCCTCTTCATCAGTAGCTCCTCCTCTTCATCATCAGTAGCTCCTCCTCTTCATCAGTAGCTCCTCCTCTTCATAAGTATAAGTAGCTCCTCCTCTTCATCAGCCGGTCCTCCTCTTCATCATCAGTAGCTCCTCCTCTTCATCATCAGTAGCTCCTCCTCCTCATCAGTAGCTCCTCCTCCTCAACATAAGACACTCATATCCGGGTATTTGAGCTGCTCTTGTTCATCATGAATGCTCTCCTCATCCTGTTTATTTGTTTAGAATAGTGCTCTAGTATGTGATTTGGGACGCAGCTACAGGTTTACAGCCTAATATAAGGCTGTTCTCAGGCCAGTCCTGTTGTTATTTTGGTCATGCTGAATAACGGAACCCTCCAGCGAAATGATCTTCTTCTGTAGTGTTTCTGTCATATGTGTCCATGTAAAGATGCTGAAGTAAACCAGAAGGTGCGGAGACCTTAATTTCAGTATGTTAATGAGCTTTAACTAACACTGAATATTGAGTAGGGGGCGGAGCTTTCTGTTCACACATCATTCCTTCATCTTGAACTAATGGCAAGAGGGGGGGGTGGCATCAGAGAAGGAGCCAATCCAGATGCAGAAGCTCTGAAGATCACCAAAGCAATGGTTTTGTTGAGAGGATTCATTGAAATGTTCACCAGACCAGTGACAGACATCATAAATGTTGATTTCACACAGACTTTAACAAAGGCATGTCCAAACTTGGTCCTGGAGGGCCGGTGTGCTGCAAAGTTTAGTTCCAACCCCAATCAGACACACCTGGGCTGGCTAATCAAGCTGTTACTAGGCTTTCTAGAAGCATCCATGCAGGTGTGTTGAGGCAAGCTGAGGCTAAAATCTACAGGACATTGGCCTCCAGGACCGAGTTTGGACACCCCTGCTTTAACCTATAACGTGTACTTGCATGAACAAACACTTCAGAGTGTTCAAAGAGAGAGGAATGGGTTCTGCTGTCACTGGCTGATCTTTGTTTTCTTCTTATAAATACTGAATTTGCTTTAGCTACACAAACAGGACAGAGGTGCATTCTCTACATACCTCTCCTAATCTACCCACTGTACTGAAAACGAGACCGTAATGAGCACATAATTCTGCAATGACTGTGAATCTTACAGCAGAACTGTTTCAGACTTATTCCTCCTGCATGTGTGATGAGGGTTTATGAGCTGAATGACGCGGCTGTGACAGAAATCATGTTCATAAAGCAGCACATTCCTGAAGCGGAGACTTCCTCTGATTCTGACTGACGTCTCCTGATGATCCAGAATACACCCATGTTCATTACAGGATCACTGCCCCGTGTGTAAATCTGCTCACTTCACAGCTCTACAGTTAATCAGGAGACTGAACTCATGCAGCCGATCTCCAGGTCTGGCGGAAAGACTCTGAATCACATCAGACCATGAGCATCTCCCTACAGAAGGTGAGAAGGGCTTCAGCAGGCGCAGTCTTTATACACAGTAATGCGGCTGAGTGAGGGTTATTATCAAGAGCTGCACAACACCAACAGCAGAATGCCTGATTATTACACCAGAATGAGAGTTCAGTTCAGCCACATCAGCCTAGACAACAACCTTCAGACTTGTTTGCAGGAAGAATAAGACAGAATGAGCCCTGAAACACTACAGCACTGCTGTCTTCAGTCCCTGAACGTCTTTAAGTGTAGTGAACAGGTAGTAGCAGTGCTAAATGTTTGACTGATACTGCTGTTGTTAAATTGGGATTAACAGTGAGATACGCGTGTACACTGACAGCTGATGTTCCACTGGAGTCCTGCTGAACTCATAACTCATTCATTCATTAAGCATTAGCCTGATGTTCACCTGCAGATGATATTATTTATTATTATTATTTATTATTATTATTATTTATCATATAAATACTAATAATGCATCATTTGACAGTTTTCAGCACACATCTACAGGCTTCATCAACATTCTTCTGGTATTAGTTCATATTTAATGTACTCATTCAGTTATTGGTGATTCTCTGATTCTCTACACAGCACTCAGAGGACAGAACGCAGCGCCTGATGTTCATTAATTATTCATATTTATGTTAATGTTTCATCACAGTTAACATTTATCCAGAAATAGAGTTTAATCAACTCAATACAGCATGAACTGAGAACATTACAGGCTTTAGCTGCGAGATGCTCGTGTGTGTGTGTGTGTGTGTGTGTGTGTGTGTGTGTGTGTGTGTGTGTGTGTGTGTGTGTGTGTTAGCACTCAGCTGCTCTGAGGATGGATGTTCTCCTGCTGGTGGTGTTCTTCAGCTGAAGGTCAGGTGATGTGTTTCCTGTCTGCTAGAGCTGATGTTCAGCCCTGATTCACATACAGAGATTCGCTTCAGGATGAATGATTCACTGATTCACTGATTCACTGGCTGTGGGATCAGCTTAATGAACACAATCAACACATCAGTCCGACCTGATCCTCTCTGTGCTGACACACATCACTGAGTGAAGAAGAGGTCATTTACAGTCACAGTTCACACATGAGGGATGACTTTATATATGTGTGTGTGTGTGTGTGTGTGTGTGTGTGTGTGCGTTCATCTGGAGCACAGTGAAGTGAAAGTCTCGCCCGGTGACCTTGAGGTCAGAGGTCAAAGGTCATGCTGAAATCCCAGAGAGAAAGAGATGAGTGACAGCCAAGGGAGGGAGCGATGTCATCACCTGCTGAGTGTGTGTGTGTGTGTGTGTGTGTGTGTGTGTAGTATGTCTGATGTCTGTGAGTGTGTGTGTGTAGTATGTCTGATGTATGTGAGTGTGTCTGTGAGTGTGTGTGTGTGTGTGTGTGTGTAGTATGTCTGATGTCTGTGAGTGTGTGTGTGTGTGTGTGTGTGTAGTATGTCTGATGTGTGTGAGTGTGTGTGTGTGTAGTATGTCTGATGTCTGTGAGTGTGTGTGTGTGTGTGTGTGTAGTATGTCTGATATATGTGTGAGTGTGTGTGTGTGTGTGTAGTATGTCTGATGTCTGTGAGTGTGTGTGTGTGTGTGTGTGGTATGTCTGATATATGTGAGAGTGTGTGTGTGTGTGTGTGTGTGTGTGTAGTATGTCTGATGTCTGTGAGTGTGTGTGTGTGTGTGTGTAGTATGTCTGATGTCTGTGAGTGTGTGTGTGTGTGTGTGGTATGTCTGATATATGTGAGAGTGTGTGTGTGTGTGTGTGTGTAGTATGTCTGATGTCTGTGAGTGTGTGTGTGTGTGTGTGTGTGTA